ATTGATCTTGTATTTACGAGGGAGTTTTCGACTTCGATTGTAAGTCTTTCGATTCTCTTCCTGGATCTTCCGAATCTGCTCTTTCGCCTCTTTACGTAGATTTTCTCTAGACTCGATAAAGTCCTTTTGGATTTCCAGCTTCTATTAGTTCTTTAATCTTCCTGTCTTTATTCGTCTTTATCTTCGTACCAAACAAAAGCTCGAAAGGTGTCGAATTGATACTCCTCTGAAAAGTCGAATTAATTATTTGCATTCAACCGCTCTACTTGTCCATTGGCTCTTGGTAATCCTGTTGTGATTAAGGATAGATGAATATTTTCCTTAGTACAATAATCAGCGAATTCTTGAGAAGTAAATGCAGTACCTCTGTCAGCTACTATATTGCAGGGATTTCCAAATAATGATTTTTGAATTTTAAGTTTAGCTATTACTTCTTTACTAGAGGTGGTTTTAGTTGGATGCAACCAAACAAATTTTGTAAACGAATCAATAACCGCGAAAATGTATTTATAATTCTTGTTAGAACTTTCTAAAGGTCCTAAATGGTCTATGTGGTAAGTGTTTAGAGGAATATCTTCTTTAGGTAAAGGATGTAATAATCCTCCCTTCTTTCCAGATTTGCGGTTGGCCAGTATACAGGTAATACAATTTGCGATATATTTTTCAATTTTCTCTTTCAATTTAGGGATATAAAAATGTTGTCTCACATGTTCTTCAGTACGTTTGGCAGCAAAATGACCTCGTTCATGTGCGTCTTTAATTACTTCAATTTGCATAATCTCAGGTACTACTAGTGCTTCAATTCCATTCACCATTTTGTAAAGCACGTCATTCCGCAAACAATAATCTTCATATGGCTTAGATTTCAAAACTCCTTTTATAACTTTTATATTTTCATCAGTTTCTTGAGCTTGAATTATTTTAAATGTTATACCATCTTGGATATTTTTAGATGATGATTTCGAACAATCTACGGCTTTGTGTCCAAACAAATCGCATTTAAAACACTTAAATTCTTTACTCTTATTGTTACAAAAATTCGACTTATGGCCAAAACTTTCACAATTATAACACCTTGGCTCTTTAATCTTACTAGGTATAGCGCGTGCTTTATTTTGTGTGTTATTACTTGAATAACCCTTATTCTTCGTATCTGGAACACGAATTTTCTCATAAATTTTTAATTTCTCTTTGAATTCAGAAATAGTTTTACACCCATAAAAATAATTTTGTTACTACTCTGATCTGGTTATCCCATTCATTACATAATCAAGAATTGATGAATCATCAACAGAACCGCGACTGGCTATTTCACGCATGGCAATTAAATTCGGAAAGTGATTCACCAGTTTTTAAGTGTCGTTTCTGTAACAAATAAATTATGAAGTTGTGCACTGTTTATTTTAGAACCAAATACAGATAAAAGATTTTCTTTTAATTTGTCCCATGATATTATACCCTTCAAAGACCTAATAAATACTTTAGCAGAACCAGTAAGCAATTTTTTTTAGCCAAACACAATTTTCTGTAATTCTGATAACTTAAATAATTTAAAAGAATCTTCTAAATCATCAATGAAGGATTCAACTGGATATGTATCAGTGCCATTAAATTCAGAAACAGTTTCTAAGATATCACGAAAATGTAGGGAAATATTGCTAGGCATTATAATGTTTTCATTCCACTGAAGTTATTTATGGGAGGTGATTCTGACAGAGCAGAATTAATATTCATCATTTTTATCAGAACCATAAACACTTTCGTTCTTCAGATAACTCATTCATCGTCATCACTTTCGGATTTTAAAAGCTTAAAATCCCAAAGACTATTCAATATTAAATCACAGTTTTTAATCAGGATTTGAATCATAACTTAAGATGTGACAAATTACACACAGAAATAAAATCATTTGCAGTAAAGAGTTTTAAGTAATTTTTGTTTTGTTTCTTCCAATATTAAAATCAGATGGAAAACCACAAAGTTACGCAATCTAGCTCTATTTTTTTTCGATCACCTAAAGTTCCAAACACAATTTGATGTAAAAGTTTAATTGACTTAGTAGGCCCAGTCTTTTAAAGAATCGAAATTCTAGGAATAGAATTTAAGGTAGTCCATCTTAATTCACAGTATCATAGAACACTATTCTTAGAAGTAACAAATGTGGAAATAATCGAAACAAAACTTACTTCTCTTATTTTGTAATATTCATAATGCTTCTTCCTAGGCTCATCGCGGCCTGAACGCCCAAATCTGTAGAATCGGTACTTACTGTCTAGGAATATGATGTTTGTGAACTTACTTCCGATGTGGCTGTCTAGGGGCTAATAAACTAGTCCGATTTATGTAAAACTTGAATATTTAATGAAACATGAATAGTTGCAACAAACTACAAAGTAATTACATACGTAGAAGGAAATAGATGAGATTATTTACAGATGAAGAAAAGGAATCGCCTTTACATTCAAACATCTTTTAATCGCGTCATCGTTAATGGCGGAATTGTCTGAATTCTATCATCGAAAAAAGTAAAAGATTTATTTTCACAGCTTGTCGCGTAATCCGATTATAATGAACGATGCCATCGCACAATATTTGTATAATATTTTCTTCGTCCGAAAAAAAAACTAAATTAAAACATTTTAGTATGCAGACAAATATCCTCAATAATCAAAACGATCAACTATTTACTCGTAACTTTTCTATAACTATAGTGAAAATACCTCTCTAACTATAATTGTTTTTAAACTTTATGACAAATATTATATTAGAAATACTGAAAAGAATTTAGTATGCTCTGCCTTTCCGATCTAAGCATCGACTATTATACGATTTAATAAATAAAGTTGCTTGTAAACGGAAATATAAGCCATGCCATGTCTTACAATGAAATTCGTTTATTGTTGCAAATACGAAGATTCATATTTCACGAACTTTTCGATAGTTTTAGTACCTTATTTCGGTTCGGGCCAAATAGTTTACGAAACAGTTCAGCCTTAATCCATTTCTGTCCTCTTTGTCATAAATTAATTCTGAAAACTTTCGTTGCAGAACGATCGTGTTGCCTTAATACTGTGTCATGAAATCCTGGGAGTGATAAATGATACATTCTCAGAAATCTTGTACATTTAAGTTTTGAAAACATTTTACAATTCTAAAATTTCAAATAAATGTTTATTATCCATATGCGTTGTATAAAATCTTCTTTAACTCAAAATACAAGAATGCCCAGTAAAGTTTATTATGGGGAGTTAGAAAATAACTTTTCAGAATTTTTTTTGAAACTATAAAGGAAAATACGCAATACGTTCATTATATATACATACATCATTGCTTAAAAAATCAGTTCGTTTAATGGAAACAGTACAGTGTAACTTCATGTCTCAATTAAAATCGTTTTAAATTTTTTTAACATTTTACTTTGAAATGCAGGTGTGTAATAAATTTTATCGGATCGCATTAAATCAAATCCATTGCTTCTCATAATTCATACTTTTTAATGTATTACTTAATACATGATTTCTTATGAACCAGTGTTCATAAGAAATCAGTAACATCTATGTTGATGTAATGCATTATATGCATTACATCAACATAGATAATTATAATGCATTATATGAACATGCAGTTGCATGCATCATTACAGTTGATGTTACTGTAATGCGGGGTACATGTGTTATCTTCATCCTAAAACATCTGTGTTGGCAATGCGAGGGATAAGCTATATATTATATTATAGGATAATGCTATATATAGTTTAGCCGGGATTATAACGGCATGAAATTTTGTAGCTTGAGCAAAGCACAAGGTGGATATCTGAGTAAGCTACATTTTAATTTAACATCTTAAAAGAAAGAAATCGAAGATCTCTTATGGGCTCTTATCTGTAATAACCTTTTCAGAAGACTTTAGCAGATACCTCCATTCCATAAGGATTCCCAAGCGTATAATCAGCCTTTGTTATGCAAAGTACTTACATAAATACTGCATTTTAAATAGAAGAATGATGAAAAGATTTTAAAAACTAGCATGTTTAGTATTAAAAAGCAGTTTTTAGACTTCTTTCTCTAAAATGATAAAATGTAACGTCACTAAAAAAAGCACGTTTTCTTTATTAGCTTTCAAAAAAAGCTAAACCAAATTTCTGGGTTTTTAAACATAAACAGCAATTTGATGAACGAACATTAATATGATCGTTTTCTAAACTGTATTAGATGGATAGAAGTTTTCTCTACTTTATGGCGTTGCGATGATATAACCTATCTTATTTGTTTGAGGAAAATAAGAATATTTTAGAAAAACATGTTTTATTTGGAGCAGCTCAGTTTAGTATCTTTCTACATTTTAGCTTTCTGGCGCTTGTCCTAAGAGAGATGCGGGAAATTTGGCACAATAAAATATGCAGAAATTTTACTGGGCGAAGTGCACATTAAAATGAAAGATATAAAGAATAAATAACGTCCTAAATAATTAAAGGATTTCTAGAAGCAGGATTAAAATTTTGTGCTGCATATGAACATTAGCAGTTATGGGTGAATATGCAAGTTAGGTAAAATTCTCTCGAATGTATCCATAACACAAATGACATATTACAGCTATAAAATTGAAGGAAGGTAAGTATGATTTCATGCAATCGTGACAACTTCTCAGAACAAAAACCAAGAGTGTCAATGTAATCCTGAGAACTACTGTATGCTGCTTATACATTTTCCTAAAAGTTAGTGAACTTATTCTGGCTTTAAAAATAATCATTTCTTTAAAAATATTAAGAAAATCCAAATTTGGGGTATTTGAGTACATCTTTTATTTATATTGTCTTTTGATGCATCTATTTGCATTATTCGCGCAATAAAATAAAAGACTTCATTTACTTGAAAATTATCATCAGTTGAAAAATATTCTTTTGAATTAAATTGAGTTTATTATTCTTTAAACAGACTGAATGTAGATGTAATTAAAAGACTATTTACTAATGAAAACAAATATACTAATTTGCATTTTAGGTCGGCACTGTGAAGATCAGCTTGATCCTTGTGCATCAGAGCCATGCGCTTATGGTGGTACCTGTACTTCACTTCCAGACAATACATTCTCCTGTTTGTGTCCTCCTAACAGCTCTGGAGACATGTGCGAGATAGGTATTTAATCAATAACTTTGATTTATTGTTATTATTATGTTGAGTGACTATGTTATGACGTACACTTGCCGTTCATAAACTAAAATATAGCTCCTTAAGCATAAGTTTTAACTAAAAATGTGTCTAGTAAATTACCATAAACTTAATAAGCAAATATAACTGAATATACGTGTTGAAACAAATAGCATTAATTATATTTTCCAAAGCAATATCTTACATATAATTTACCCCCCCCAAAGAGTTGGAATGAACATTTAAGTGCTTTCAACAAAATATGTATTACTGATTAACTAAACATGTATTACTGCTACAGCAAAAACATATATTACTACTTACCTAATTTCTAAAAGATTTCAACGTATTATTGGTTTTTACCTCTTAAAAAAGGGGGTTCTCTCAGAAAAATATTCTATCGTGGCCAAAGAATAAGCAACAAACGCTGAAAGAAAAGGTACGAATGTAAAAGAGGGATTTAAAACATACAATTTATATATGAGATAGAGGTTGCATCGCCGAATGCAAATAGGCAACAAAATTTAACGTAAAATGCAATCCTGTAATCACACCACAACGCCTTAAAAAGGGGCATTCATAATCTATGTGTCAATTCGCAAACAGCGATAGTTCACTGTAATCCGAGATAACCAAAGAGGAAAGCAGGAGCCGAAGGCACCATTTGCACGATGAATTGTGTTGCAGAGCTGTTGGGAGATATTGCAGGCTACTGCAAGACAATCCGCTGTTGCAAGAGTGCTGAATGTGCATTGTAGTGTCATCAATAAGCTGTCTAATCGTTAGCAAGGGTATCAAAACCCCTGTGGAAGACGACGGTCTTGAAGCCGGAGGATTATCACAAACGCAGATGATCACTCCCCGTTGCTATATGCAAGACGCCATAGATCATTATCAGCACGACAGCTGGCGTCCCATGTCTGTGCTGCTGCAGGACGGCCCATATCCCGCCAAACTGTATTCCGACGACTGCATTAAGGTGGAAAGAATACCCGACGAAGTCAAAGCGCGGTTGAATTGGGCCCATGAATATCTCAAAATATCGCAGTTGAACACCAGAGTAGTGGGGCCATGTACCCTGTAGGATGAGTCTACATTTAACATACAGAACGACTCCCGAAGGGCAATGATGTGGCAGAGCCAGGAGCACGCTATCGGGCGTCAAAGATCGTTAAAAGAGACCATTACAGAGGATAAGGCTTACTTGTGTGGGCAGAGATCACAAAAAACGGCTTTTACGTCATTCTGAGTGGTTCTTCACAGCCGTCCAATATCGCGACGAAATTTTACGTCCTCTTGAGCGTCCTTTCACCGCTGAAGTGAATACCGAGGTGTTATTTATGAACGAAACGCCTGCCCGCATAGAGCTCAGGTTGCGCGGCACCGCCTGAGCTCTATGCTCTCTCTCAACATGTTAATCTATTCCACCTTTATGTGGAATAGATTAACTCTTTCGCATCGAAGTCGCCCAAACGCAAAAGTAGCTTCCTTGTTTCCTTTGGTCTTTCCTTTCCTTTGTTTACTGTTATTGTTTAGCTTTTGATGCCCGAAGTTGCAATCCCGTCCCAAGGGGGAACTTCACACAGTGTCAAAGCGTCGAAGAAAGAAGTTCTCGCTTTACTTAAGTATTGTTAGCGCTGTAGTATTCAACTTGTCATGGGGGAAGGAAAAGCATTCCAAGAGAAATTCTTAGATACGGGCGTTTTCGATGTGTGGGAAATTGAGATTTTGCCCTCTCTCGATGCGAAAGAGTTAACATGTTGGGACGACGAATAGCAGGTCGCAGTGTGCCATCAGGCATCCTCCAGGAGCTCCGACTCGCATTACTACAGGTATGGGTGCTACTATCCCAACAAACGTTCAACGACACTATTGCCAGATTCTCTTGACAGTTTTAAGCATGCATTTCCTTTAAAGGGTATCATACCCGTTCTTAGTGTTGTGTTTCCATCGCACATTTGTCAAACCCATTTGGTATTTCGTCATGTGTTGATCGTAATATAGATTTTTTGTACATCTTTGCTTTATTGTTTGCTATGTGGCCTAGTAACGCCACACCAACCTTTTCGATTAGTTTCACGCATATCATTAGACAGTTTTTTATTACCTGTTTTGCCTTTGTTGCTTATTTTTTAGCAGGAGTGTAAGAATTTAGCACAAAAGAAAATCTCAGATTGACTTAAATTACGGCACAATCTAGTCACATAGAAAACTCGGTCATTTTATCCGTCAGGATTTGAAATGGTTGCAAGGTGTTTGGAATGATATTGAAGCCGATAATCATTATGTTCTCTATTTTTCTTGGGACAATTTTTAAAAACATATGCTTGTTTGAAATGTGTGTAATAAAGTCCTTCCCATTATCCAAATGAATTGATGTCAGCCGTATATCTCACTTATAAATACACTGCTCAAAACAATTAAAGGATATTGCGATTTTAGGTGGATCTTGTGGCTGGGAAACTTTTTAGCTGATTGATACATGGTCGACAGACGTAGTAGGTTATATGAGAATAAATTACACATGTTTGGCAGAAAAAAAAATGCATTTTATTGCGCATTTGTGTACAAAAGGAAAAAAAAACACAATTTGTGCATATGAGAAAAAAAGAATAAGAAAAGGTGTTTTCTTCAAAGGAAATCATTTTCAGTAGGGGGTATGGTTTCCACGGACGGCCAGCAACGTTGAACACCTTTGAGGCATGGAGTCAATGAGGCTATTAATCACGAGTTGGGGTATTCTGTCCCACTCTTCCAGAAGAGCTCTTTCCAGTTCTTGGAGAGTTTGTGGGGGTGGTTGGCGGCCAGCAACTCGTCTTCCTAGAGCGTCCCAAACGTGCTCTATTGGATTCATGTCTGGAGAACACGCTGGCCATTCCATTCGTACGATTCCTTCCTCGAAAAGGAAATCCTCCACCAGGTTAGCACGATGTGGCCTGCAGTTATCGTCCATTAAAATGAAGTCATCTCCGATTGCTGCAGCGTAAGGGACTACAATAGGTCTGAGGATCTCATCCCTATATCGGCGACCAGTCAGAGGTCCATCTCGAATGATGTAGAGGTCTGTGCGCCCGTCAATGGAGATGCCACCATACACCAACACTCCCCCCACCGCCAAATCTGACACTTTCGTGCACGAACGCAGGATTATTCCTACTGCCACGGTCCCTCCAGATGAAAATACGCCTATTATCAGGATGAACAGAAAAACGGGACTCGTCAGAAAAAAGAACATTGCTCCATTCATTTCTCCTCCAGTTCACATGCTCTGTTGCCCACTCCCTGCGGTCGCGACGATGCCTTGATGTTAGTCTAACACATACCATCGGTCGGCGAGCATACAGACCTACACCATGGAGCCGGTTTCGGACAGTCTGAGTTGAAACCGTGGTGCCAGTAGCCGAGCGAAGGTGTTGTTGGAGAAGAGTAGCATTCATATTTCGGTGTCTCCGAGCCGTTAACACTAAATAACGATCTTCATTGGGCGTTGTTGCCCGTCTACGACCTTGCCCTGGTCTTCGGCCTGCACTTCCAGTTTCCGAAAAACGGTTCCAGTCTGGAAATCACACTTTGTGACACTCCAATGGCTTGCGCTACTTCGGCTTGAGTTTGCCCCCTTCTAACCTACCAACAACTCTCCAAGCTTCTGAATCGGTTAAATGACTTCGCTGAGACATCGTACTCATCGAAACAAAGTAGTCACTGAATGCCGATCATCCTTGTCTTCATTGTCTTTTATTCAGTTGAAAGTCAAATTTCATTCACTGCCGCTGAAGCGACGTTTTTGACGTCGAATTCAAAATTAGCATACTCCACAGTTTGAAAATCAGAAAAATTTGCATTTGTGATTCTCTTCTTCCATTTTCGGCAAAAAAATTTCGCTTATATCTTTATTTTATATAAAACTTACAATATCCTTTAATTGTTTTGAGCAGTTTATTATATTAAGCTAACGCTATATTAGTTGTAAGGCTTTATTGCTTTGTAAAAACTGTTCTTAACTTTTTATTACCATTTAAGTTAAATTCTATCCTACCATTCTTGAGTCTTGTCACAATGTTTGCTCATATCAGAAACTTAATCCACATTTGAAGCCACGCTCCGTAGTTTAAAGTTAATCTTAACTGTAACAGTTCTAGAGTTTTTCCACGTTATTGTTCTAGCTGACTGATCATTATTTCCTACTTATCAACGGTTCATGACACTTGGAAAATGCTTTACAAAGTTAATGATACTGTAGCCGACCAGAAGTTTACTTTTGAATTTAGACTTTTAGTGTGAATAATTTGTATCTTAACAAACAGGGTTAGTTATTTTACAGTAATTTAAACATTTTAGTTTGTGTGAGCATTTTAGCTGCAAACTGACAGGATAATCACAAACACAAGTCAAAATTTCATTCTAACTTTAAATTTCATTGAAACACATTTAATTTTAACTTGGCTTGAATGTGTGTTGAGAATTATATAGTCAAGGGCGTAAACTTGTGAACCGATTAAGATAATTCTGTAATTAGCCGTTTGGTTGAATATTCATTTTAGTATAGAAGTTATAGAAATAAATACACCACTGAATATCGAGGCTTTTGGCTTCTTCTTCCGAAAAATAAATATAGTTTATTATTATTATTATTATTATTATTATTATTATTATTATCATAACTATTATTATTAATTTACTATTTAGAACTGGTAGTGATATATAAGTGTTCTACAAAAATTAATCTGTTGGTGATACACAGGATCTGGAAAAAACTTAATACATCCTACTCATAAATAGGGTGTCCCTGACTCTTTTTAACGAGTTAAACTCAAGTAAACTGGACATTCCAAATTCAGTGAAAGTGATTTCAGAGCTTCTTATCAAAAAGCTTAGAAAGTTATAATTTGTAACTTTGAAGTGAGGAGAAATAAGAGATAATAGTCAATTGTAGTGTTGTAAAGTATCTTCTTGCTTCTATGAATTAAATTCGAGAAATGCATTCACACGAAAAAATTACCACTTACACAAGATCAATTATAAATCGATTGAAGTACGCAATGCTTAGATAAAAAAATTGCTACAGAAGCCTATTTTTCATATTTGATAGAATTTCTGTCTTGTGAGGTGAGTATTATATAATAATTTAACAGAAATGTATAGCAGCTTTTTAAAGTTTAACATTCGTATTATGATGCATGCTTTACTCGTCGTTTTGATACTCTGAGGATTTACTGGAATACAAGAAACTCCGCTGTTACGGCCGAACAAGCTCGCATTTTGACATGATATATCGAGTAATAATTGCTTTTTCTGTTCTAAAACGCACATTGCCGTTATGGAATATGAAAATCATCTCAAAGCTTGTGATGCTCTGTTAGTCTTCGGATCTTGCATTGTGAGATGATAAACTTTATGGCGAGTAAAATCGGAAACGCTGAAGGTACTTCTAAGCATTTGCCTAGTGTCTCCTATCCCTCCAGAACTATTTACGGTTCCAGTTCTATGCCTGAAAGAAGTGAGAAGAAAAATACCATATTCTTGATTTGGCACACGTAGATCTTCGGGTATCTGAGGGACACTGTGGACTGTCTGAGGAACTGGGAACTCTAATGGTTTATCTTGCCTTTCGTACCTAAATTTTAGAGATGATCAACTGGGCATCTAAATTTGAGGGAATACAAATTGAAAATAATTTTAAATTCTAATTTAGACTTTGGTTTCGAAGCTCTGAGAATGAGAGTTATTATTGGTAATTCGTTTCATAGCCGTGCGTACATACTGTATTGCAAAATTGCAATTAAAAATGCCTTTATGTATTTTGTTTCGTTTCAAAACTAAAAATGCAAATCCTATTTATTTTCAGTTGATTCTCCGGGAGATGAGTCAAGTCTTACAATAGAATTCAGGGGTGACAGCTATTTAGAATTTCCGACTCTAAAAAATGTTGCTCAATCTTTCAGTATCGAAATCTGGTTTTTCACTCGGGCGCTGAATGGATTATTGTTGTTTAATGGACAGAAGCCTTCAGGAGTTGGGGATTTCGTCGCTCTTACTTTGCTCAATGGATTCGTGCAATTTACTTACAATTTAGGAAGTGGTACTGCAAACATATCGTAAGTTTAAATTTATTTCCTATATTATATAAAAAGTACTTCAATAGTACTATAGTACATAAGAAGTTCTCTGATGGTAAGTACTTCATATAATCAGATTATTTGTAAATATGTAATAATTTAATTAACTAATTCATATTCACATTTGTGTCATTCGAGTTTTTAACATTTCTTTTTCAAAAAAGCAATAATATTTTAATACTAATATAATATTATTATCATCATATGTAGGTTAAGTCAAATAACCATTGCTGTTATATGATTTTGAACTCCTTGCTTAAAGAAAGTATTCCAGGCTTTACGTTGAGCCAAATTAAATCCTGAAATATAAACATAATGTTATATACAAATTTAAAAAAAATTGGACTGAAAGAAAGGAATATAATTGAAGCAAAAAATTGCATTACTAGCCTTATTTTTCAGTTTATTATTTCAAGTTTTGAAGTCAACTTGAACTGCTTATGAGCAATTCAGTCTAACAATGCTTCTTTTAAGTTTAATAAATATTTTTTGCATTAAACGCATCTTTATGAACCTTAATAGGTTCAGTTATTTTCTTTATTTTTTAATATTTTAAAATTTTTACTTTGAATTCAATTTAATGTATTTTTAATCATTGTAAAACTTTCTCAAGAATTCAAAGATTCAGATATTAACTTTCCTTTCTTCCTTTCTTTTCTCACCAATTTAGCAATTTATAGTCATTCCACCATATGTTTTCATATGCATGTTTTTGTCCGATATCTGCACATGTATTCGGAAAGTATGCATGTAAAATTACCACTATTATAATGTCAGAATTTAATACAAAATTTTTAATTTTAGTATGCAACTTTTTTACCTGATTGTGGCTTCATATTATTTGTTTCCACTGGTTAGTTTATACTTTTAATATTATGTTTCTGCCATTTTTTTTCCAAATCACTTTACGTTTAAATCATTAACATCACATTCCATTAATATTTATGTAGCTAAATAATTTGAACATAATGCTTTAGAAGTCCAATTAAGATCTTATATCATACCTGAATTCCAGTACATCGTTAAACTTTCCAATACATAGATACCTTAAACGATGTAATTCCAATACATCATTTAAGGTATTTAAGAATTATTTTAAACCTGGAAACTTTATTGATTTTATAAATATAGTTCAACTTTATTGTTTTTATAAATATAGTTCTGTGTTTAATTTTAAGCTGCTTAATTAAAATTGGAATTCAGTAAATTTTTTATTTTTATCTTCATATATTTTAAATATTTCTTTTTTAATTCCTTATGCTGCAGAACTATGGAGATGTTGAGGTAAATATTATTTATTAGGTTTAGTAAATTAGAAATTTTAAGCTTATACTATGTGACTTCATAAAAACCACACATTTATATTTATAATTTTTATGGAATAATTAACTTCCTGCTTGGTCATTTCTATTAAATAAATGAATTTTAATTTGTTGAAGTCTTTGTCCTTTAATTTCTGTTGTATTGTTTAGTAAAGTTTGAATCATGGAGATAAACTGTATTGCATTTCTAGATAAGACAACATGGCTCGAAGAAATTATAAATAAGTGTATTAATACCTGTTTATTTTAAATGTACAATAATTAATTACATGAGTATTTTTCGTGTATTATCTGCAAGTAGTTTCCAATTTCATATGACCATCTAAAAAGTATTTTAACTTTCTCGAATAACTTTTTTTATTTAGTCAGTCTTTTACTGATACTGCTCTATTCTGTCTCAGCTTCTTAAATAACAAACCGCTACAAATAGTAACATAATATGCTAATAACAAGAAAAATAAATAATACGAGTAGCAACTTGAGGTATTCAGTAATTTCTGAACAAAATTTTATTTTTTTCGTCTACTTAATGTGATGTAGTCTGTTATATTGTGATCATAAAGCTGTCTATCGTATATTGAGGTATTTTTATGGCATTTGTCTATTTTATGGGCAGGCAATAAAACCTCATATTCATGCAATTTTGTACGCAAATTTAGGTTAGCGTCTTCCTCTTTTGTATTATATATATTTCAGTTACATTTTAGTTAAAAGCAGATTAAATGAGAATTAAAAGACTAACGCATCAATTTTAAAATATTTTCATATCATTTTTTTTTCTCTTCTATTGGTTTTCTAACTTCTTGTTTATTTTAAAAGTATTAAAAATAAATTGCTTCAAAAATTCGTGTTTAATATTCTGTTCTATTCCTAGGAGTCCGGAACCGATATCGTTGGGCACGTGGCATTCTGTGAAAATTTCAAGATTGAACAGGAGAGGAACGCTGCAGATTGACAATGGTCCATTAATCCCGGGAAAGTCAAAAGTAAGTAGTTGATAATAAATCAATGCTGACAAAAACTTAGCAAAAAGTGGCAGCGAATTTAGTAGGAACTAAACGAAGTGTAAATACTCATCTATAAAATCATTCATCAGTCTTAGATTTTTCTGTAGTAACTGGCAAAAGATGTGCAGAAATTTTATGACATCGATACTCTTATCGTTAATGTAATATTTGTTTTCGTGTTCGATGACAAAAACACCTTCTCTGACATCTGATTACCGTATACATGTGGTATTGGCAGTGACAAAGTGAATCCAATTTAACATCTTATATCAAATTTGGCTAATGAACTTTACTGTAATCACAGAGACTCAATTCTGGAGGAATTAGCTATTACAGTAACGTAAAATTTAGAAGTTTAGTTTTCTGACAACTAAGGGATGGTTAAAGTTGTGAACTCTATGTTAGTAAGTACCGCTGTTCAAGTTAAAGTCAGATGTTCGTTCAGTGACCAGTAACTCCGGCAGTACAAATAAATAAATAAAATAATAGGGCGATAATAAGAAAAAAATATTTTAAATGTGAAATATAAAAATCTTAAACATTAATATATTTAAGAATCAGCAAACTTTTAATTTTTATTTCCCAAAGCAGTTCATTTCTAATTAACGATAAATTAAAACTTGTTTGTTAACTTTGACTTATGACTTTCCATAGTGGCATGTTATGTTACGCATATTAACGCATTCGTAACAAATGTAATGTATCAAAGAATTTAATATCCCACATTTTAAGAACTAGAATTTTCTTAATTCATGTCAGTTAAGCCTATAGGTACGTTATTTTCGATGAGCTAAGGTCCATCGACTTTCAAAAATTCTTTTAAAGCTAAACCTTCGGCGTTAATCAAATAAATGGGTCATTAAAATATTAATTTTACAGCATTTCACATTTTATTGCTAAGTGTGCCTTTACGTATTGTTGAATCAAAATATGGAACAGAAGAAATCCCAAACTGCATAGCAAAACGTTAATGCTGAAGAAAATGTAACAGTTATAGGTAGCGACTTTCATTAATGGTACAATCTTAAATAAGTCAATATCAGCAGTAAGAAGACGTAGCTTTTGCTGTAATTTTTTTCCGAAACGCTGAAAGTAAAGTAAAACACTAATAATAGATAATGAAATTGATCTTCTTAACACCTGGTTCATCGTAAGCCTATTTTTGTTTGAAGTCATCCTAATCCAGATCTTATTTGTCAGCGATCTAAGGTTGGAAAGAGCTTAGCGAAGAGAAGCAAAATAATCGCTAGCACAAAGCTACTTATCTTTTTCTTGCTTAATCTTCAGTTCACTAAATACCATTATTTATGCATCGCTGATTTTGTATTTGACGAGTTCTAAACATTTTCGATCTAGATTCAGCATGAATCCGAAAGCAGAAACACAACTTTAATTTCCGATGAAATTTCGTTGAAATTTCCAGATCCTTTTGTTAACATAAATCCTATTACTTGCTTATAATGTGTCTAAACATTTTAGGTAGAGACCTAGTCTTCAGATAGTGCGGCCCTGGAGAGTATACTGGTTAACAGATAGTGACTGTTAGCCTGAAACTAAGGTGTGACTTCTATCTTAAGTATTGGTTATGTATCCGTGTGTATCTTTTCCTCACTTCTGTGAGTATATTAAATGTCTGTTCCTTGGGGCGCATCCTGTACAACGTTCTCGGTAATGAGACAGCTAACTAACCGACAGATTAGGCTATTCTCGTCGAATCCGTTCCAGCAAGTGTCCAAGCTTTGAGCCAGAAAAGGGAGTTTGCTTAAATAAGTATATTTATCGCCATATATTTATTAGTGAAAATTATCACCTGTAGAATGTCATCAGTTTTAAAATTAAGCGCTCATGTTAATATATTAAAGTGTTCTTTATTATGTTCAGAAGTACAGGTGCTTTATTTGAATCTACTACATTATTAATTTTGATATAGAGGATTAAACTCATAAATTATGTATATTTGTATATTTATAAAAGCATATATTGAATATTAATACAAATATCAAAAGGAGTGTATTAAACTCTGTTATCAGATAAGAACGTTGTTAATCGTATTTTATGAGGTGAAATGGGTTTTCAGTTTTGGGTAACCGTAAGCAAATCAAGTACTTAAAAGCAAAGTAAAGACAATTTTTCAGAAATTTTAGAATTAGACAGTAAATATTTTAGAGAGTACGATTAAAATACTGTTGCTATCTTTTTAACCTTTTTTTTTCGAAACTCTTATTTCGATTAATTTTTTAATATTAGATACATATGTAGTTTTGCATCTTTCAGTTTTCTATTTGCAAACAAATATTAAAGGAAATTTGAAGGCTTCATTATCTTTACCCGTAAATACAAATATTTAATGACATAGCGCCTGAAATCCCTAGTAAAATACTTAAACGATTATTACTGTTTGCATTTAGCGCTGTTGATTTGAGCTGAAAAGTGTCTTTGAAATTAAGTTAGTAGTCTTGGAGTAGCTGAATCAGGCACAGAAGTTAATTTTTTCATGTGTGTAATTGGCCTTCGTGGCCGCATGCTTTCATGGAGGAAGCATTCGTATTCGAGAGGTTCGGAGCTCGAGTCCTGGGAAGAGCATTACTCATTATTCACGTCTCCTGCTTTTGAGAAAAATCCTAATGTCTCTACAGTGGCGCCTGAATTAAAAATGGTGGTGAATGCTGATTCTCCACCACCAGGATTTGGAGATTTTTCCCCTAACCCTCGTTCGTCCTTTAAAAGGGGAAGTGTAAAAGAGGAATTATATAAGATATTTTCTCCCTCCTTTCCACGTGCCTTCATGGTGTAATTGGAAATATATTCGAAGCGTATTCGAAAGTTCTAGAGTTCGAGTCCCGGCAAGAGCACTGCGATTTTCCTGTTTCGAGAAAAACCTTATGACTCTACACCTTTAATTGTTTTACATTGCTGCAATTACGTTTTAATCTGGTATTGAAAAGCACAGACCGGACATTAACACGTACAGCAGTGTAAGAAATTTACACTAATGCTTAGATTCAGTTAAATTAAGTTTAACCGCGTATCTTTTAATGTCTATATGCTTCAAATTCCTTTTCTTCTTTGAATCAGTTGTACCTTATTTTATATCGCATGCTCGTACACATAATCACGCATAAAGAAACGTGAGAAAAGGAATAATACTACAGTATTTTATGTATCAATACAATAACCTTTTTATCAGCCCTTTATAAAATTATATAAACACACAAATGTTTTACAAATGATCCAAATTAAAAGGTTACACTCGTTAAAAAGCTGCAGCTGTAAAATTCATATCTGAAGTAATATTTTCCCATCAAAAAATTAACATGTGCCCGTATGAGGTATATTATGCTTTTACACTCATTCATTTTTCTACACTGTTATTGCTTTTGTAGTATGAGTCATATTACACTAGCAAATATAAACTTAACATCAATCAAATATGATAAATTAAACTTAAAATCTTATTAGCTGTTAAAGTATATTATAATCTGATGAATATAGATGGGAGGACTACAACGAACAGGATGAAATTTTGGAATTCCCTATAGTATAATTCCGATTTCTAATAAAGCAATACTGATAAATGTCATACTTAATGAAATAGGTTCATCTGCGATAACGAATAAGCAAATATTATCGATAATTATATCGCTTTCATTTAGTGAACTACAGAAAGTTATATGAAAGATATGATCATTTAGCCAATGACTTCTCTCTATATTTGAGATCTCAAATCGTGGAATCTTTTAAGCTTGACTTGATTCAAATCAAAGCTAGTTCACTTTTCATAATTTCAAAATTTAATGAGCAGAGCGGGGTATAAATAAACAGAAGCTTCTAATAAGCATGTTTAAGTGTAAACAAATATCTGAATAAATTCTTGAAACTAAATTCAGAATTTAAACCTCTCTTTAAAGACACTTAAAGACTTCTAAAACAGGAAGTTAGAGTTTCAACTACACTTCTTGGTAATATTGTCAGACAGTATTTAGGAATATAAATTACTGTTTAGTTTTCTATTAAATGTAGATATCCAGATATGTTAAAAGGCTGCTCCTTTCAAAATCTTCATTACATTCTTTCCTTCGTAAGTTCTACTACCGGGATAAATAGATTTAAATTTATTTTATTTTATCATACAGTTCACTTTTGTTTCCATTTACGTTTACCAGTTATTTTGGTTTATTTTTCCGTTAATTCAATCCGCCTACAAGTGTAATTAATAAAGTTATTTAAAGCAAGAATGTTATAATGGATGAACATTTCTAGTCGTTTCCTTGTACAGTTTATTGAATTTAAAATAAACCCATATTAATTAATATGCAAAATCACTGTGCAACTGAATAAAAGACATGATTTTGAAAACTACACTGAATATTATAGAATGAATGAATCAATAAGAGTATTCAATTTTCGGCCAGTCAATAAACACAGAAGAATCACTGGCACAAATATGTCAAAGGCAGTCACAAAACTAGGAAAGGAATATGACGATATATAAGACTTTAAAAGAAATAACAGGCATAAATATGTAACAAAAATACGCCTATGTTGACAAAAGCCTTGAATACAAGAGGACTTTTAGCTCGCCACATTTTTAGAGTGCCCCCATGCTGTACAGACATTATACATTTACAAACATCCATTCCTTCTTCGGTATTCCACCCCGAACACTTCGGTGCGGCAGTCAGAGTCACTAACCACTATCCTGGTTGGGTGGTGCATAAATATGTGATTTTAAATTTTTAATCTAATTTTTAAATTTTTAATTTAAAACTTTTAATCTAATTATGTAAATGAAAAATATCCGTTTCATATTTTGTCGATTTCTTTTTGATAATTTCAGGTATAGACTTTTATGCATCAAATAAGTGTTTCAAATGAGTATCGTTATTTAATATGCCCATTAACTGATATGTTTAATACTGAGCGATCGAATTTAACAAAGATCGAAACAGAGACTTTTTACGATGTTTCGTCCGATTTGAAATTTCCAGTGTTTGATTTAAAATTTCGTGTTCTATTGTAGAAACATTAGGTTATTTGGAAGCAAGGAAAAATGAGCAATGCCTACGCTGGGAATAGAAATACCGACCTCTGGAATACGTGCATACACCACGAAGACACGCTAAGAAGGCGAGAAAAATACCTTGTAGTATAACCAGCTTTTTTAATAAAATCTACCGTTATTTTACACACATAAGCTTTTCCAATTAATTATGATTGCTTTAAGTAAAACTAAAAATATGTTTTCTTTGGCTTTTTACCGATGGTACATTCTGTTTTAGAGTTCAATATTAGTCGCCTAACATTTTCAGTTTTCCTTTCCTTTTATAATATGTTTTCATTGTATATAAAGCCTGATAGGAATGTTATCCGTGTCGTATATATTCTATAACCAATGAAATTGGCCAGTAGTCATTTCATTTGTAAAGCACGAATTTTGGAACATATTTTTGAGGCTTATGTAAATAGTTTCAGACCTTTATAAATTTGTTGGTTTTCCAAAAGCTTGAAATGAGGAGTCTGTTTATAGAATACACAATTTCTTTTCTGAGGGAGGCTATAGAGATTTAAAATTAACCTCTTCTTCTTTGGTAAAATTCACAAAACTTTACGCAATTTTTTAAGAGATTTCGTCCTGTTAAACCAAACTATCTGGAAGCTGTAAATATCAGAAATAAAAAATATAACCAAACTGATTTCTTGTACAGAATAGGAGCATCTATCGAAAATTTTATTGAAACATGAAGCATAAATTCCGATTTCGTAATCGAATTCAACACATTTTATGTCACAAAATCAAACTGGGAAATGGGTAAGGAGGTAAAGGTATAATGGTAACGGGATTACGAGACTACTTTTCTACAAAGGCTTAATACTGAAATTAATTGAGTCATAATATGATATGGTTTATTCTGTTTGATAATTTTATTTTTTTTTCTGAAAAATTTAATTTACTGGGCAATTTTAAAAGATTATCTACGGTACTTTAGAACTATGAAATGCTGGGCAAAAATGGAAACTCCGGAAAGAAATTGAGTATATGAAACAAAAATTGCAAAACTGGTCTCTAGTTAACTTAAACGAACTTATTTCTGTGGTATCATACTATAGGATTTACGCATATTTCTGCTGCTGTCGAAATAATTCCAATGCCTTTGTATGTTTATGTGGATTTCTTTTTTTAAATGAGATACTATCGTACCAGTTCTATAAATATGCAGTAATAATCATGTTAACGAAAATATATAAGTGATCCTGTATTAGAATGACAGTGTAAAATCTCATAATGGATGAAAAAGATGGATACTTAACAGTCATAAATTTAATGAAAGTGTGTAAGCTAAGTGAATTATCTTCTTCGGCGAATTGTCTCTCTTTCAGTTTAAATGTGAATAATTACATCTACTATTATGTCATATGTTATATCTCTCTTTCAAAGTTTAAAGTATTGCTGACTGTCTGTAATTTAAATTTTTAGCCACATCTTTCTGAACTGAACTTAGGAGAACCTCTTTACGTCGGAGGTGTTCCCGATTTCTTACCTTTGAAGTACATATTGGTTGTTCAAACAGGACTCGATGGAGCCATACAACGAGTTATTGTAAATGACGAAGTGTGGGAAGATCTCCTTAGTTTAACTACAAATACTCAAAACATTGAACACTATACTGGACCTCCCTGCACTGCGAACACTTGCAAAAACGGCGGAACTTGCATTCCAATGCTTGAAGATTTCAGATGTCAGTGTGTTGGAGACTTCACAGGAAAGACGTGTAATGAAAGTAAGTGATTTAAAAAAAATATAATTATATTTCCATAGCATGTAAGTGATTTAAAAAAATATAATTATATTTCCATAGCATGTAAGTGATTTAAAAAAATATAATTATATTTCCATAGCATGTAAGTTTTTGAAGGTTTAATTGCGTAAGCAGGTTATATCGTATTAATGATGAATTTTAAAACTTAAAAATATAGTTGTAATGATTATCGAACTGAACTTTTTCTGCTTGTGAAACTCACTTCACATATTGTAAAATATTTATTAATTTCATCAAGACATGTAAAAGCTGAAACAGTGGAAGATTTAAGTTGTGAAATGTGTTATGGGGTGGTTCTAGCCTCAAAGTTATTTCTAAATGCTGTGAATTCCTTGAGAGGAAATGTCGCGAAATATTGATTGAATAGTAAATGCAAGCTCCAGTAAAAGTTAAACATTTAAGATTGTGAATAAAGGGCGCTTTCGCTTCAGTGTCTGTTGCAAACAAAGAGTGGGCTATCCTTCGTGAAAAGTAAGCTAAGGAAGATGGGGCGCAGCAGATATGAGTTTTGAAACAAGACTTCTTAAAAGACGAAGTCTGAAAGCCTCAAAGAGAAGTTTAAAATTTATTTCGTTATAGGAGGTAAATGGATGTAGCAGCTTTGTAAAAAATGGCTTGATATATAGCATGACGCCATTTATTGTCTGAATAATCCTTAGACTATATATAAGAAAGTAGGGTAAACAATCTTCTACTAGACGTATTATTTTCTTGAGAAACACTGTGTCAGTATGTAAAAATAATCGGACTGGTGAATGAGTGATGAAAATAACCTACACATCTTTTCTTGGGGCTTTGTTGAAAATTATGTGATTTTTCCTAATTTTTATTGCTACCTGGTTATATTTGGTTGAAAAAGGTTATGGGGAACTGTGATTGATCAATTAAGTTCAAGTGAGGCGTGGTTACAATAAAAGATGACTTTTAATTAATAATTTAGTCTGAGTTAAATAGGAAAGATTTTCTCGGGAAAACATATTTCTCTGGTTTCATATTTGATTATAAACTCGATGAAGAAGCTAAAATGAAGAAAAAAGAAAAAGAGAGAAATCGTGCGTATGGTAGCTTGTAGAAAAGTGTGTAAGTTTTTTAATGGAAAAAATTTCATTGAAAATGACTTTGTTGAAAAAGACAGTTTGTGCCCTATACTCATAAAATGTTTCAGTTTTAGAGACGTTTAAGAAATGATTGAGTGTAGGACTCTTGCCCTACATGGAGGTAATGTTCCAGTTGCACATATATTTTTGAAAAGACTGAGCGATAAAGATTCCTACTGTACACTGATGAGGTGTTCCTGTTTCAGAAACATTTAAGAAACGACTGAGCAATAATATTTCAACCCTACACGCTACGAACCCGTACGCACGCAACAATAAGTTTAAAAAAAATCATTTGGCTTGCTGCTAGATTAAATATCTTACTATGAAAAAAATTCATTCTTAAAATATATTTATTATGTACACACGAACATGAAATTAATACATAAATATAAAGGAACTAAGTTAATGTATGAATGCAACAGATTTTATTGATATATTTTATCAAAAATTCATGCAGCAAAAATTTTAATGGTTACTACCTTCGGTAGATGGTATTCCTGGAAGTGCTGAGTATTCTCAGCATGTAAATAAATATTATTATTGAGCATTAACTTTATGAAGCGACCATCTTTACAGAAGATCAAAACTGACAGTTCGTCTAGGCGTTGTCTTAGTTAAGTTTCGTTGTACTTATAATAAAATATTATTTAAAGAATTCTGGCTAGTAATTTTTTAACTTTCTATTCCAGCTGCAGTATTAATTGCTATGAATGATAATTTTCTCACTCATCCTGTTGTGTTTGATGGATCAACTTGCATGCAGTTTTCAGAAGGCTTAAAAGGGATGAAGTGAGTAGTTTATCATTTTACTAGTAAGTAGTTTTTAAGTAAGTAGTTTTTCAGAAAACTCTGTATGAAATTAAATACATAAAAATATCAAATCATTTGATTAACTATTAACAATCAATCTATTTAATAAATTAATTTGCTAAAATAAACATTATTGACTGAGAATATAAATGTGTGTGATGATTACATTGCTCCTATTACTAATAAAGAATTTAAAATATGATCTCAAATCAAAAGAATGCCGTGTACGCTAAAAGGGGTACAAAATTAGAAAAATGTTTTAGATTTTCTAGCTATGAAAGTAATTGAGAACCCTTGTGAACATATATCACTTAGAAGTGAAACAACATACGATGATTGTAAAGACGAGAAGAATCATTGTAGAAGATTTTAAAAAATTGATGCACATAAAATGCCCATCAGTGTTTCGCTGCAGAAAATGCGCTACAGCGGAAACGCTCGGATTTTTTTATAACTAGCGGACAAGCTCTCAAATGAGCGGACTACAGCCAAAGCAATATTTATAACTGTATACAAAGCAAAATTTATTAGTTCTGTGTACACTTGGAAAAAATGTGCATAAATATATTTGAATACGAATGAAATCAGTTCACTTCTGTCCAAGCAACAACCAATTCGTACATAATTTTTTGTTGCTAAACCAGGAAATACAAACTTGGGATACTTCATGTACGTATATGTCATGACTTAAATTTAATGTAATATAACAAGATCTGAAACAAAAAAGCTGCCAACAGCAGCTAAGCTAAAAACTAAACTCGGCGGCGGAAAACTAAACTCGGAGCCATGGCCGGCAGTGTCCTGCTTTCTGTTTCTAGACCGTGGATTCCGGGGTGCTGGTGCATCTTAGCCTGGACAAATGGTCAGCTTGTTACAGGATCATCGGTGTTTACTCCCCAAGCAAACTTGGTACTTATTTTATCGACCCACTCTAGGTATCAAAGGCTGAGTCAACCTTGCCCAGACCGGGGGTCAAACCCCGAGCCTGTGATGCTGCCGTGTGACGTGCTATTTATTTGATACAGCAACAGCAGCTATTTATTTAAAATGCTAATTTAAATTTTCGACATACAGTGACGTCACATGAAATCGCGTGCTTTCTTTTTTTTCTTCAAATCTATCACTTAGCGCATGATATAATAATTATATAATATAGTCTATTTAATACTTTGCAATGCTATTTTTATTTCATATTTTGTATAACTTACCAAATTTTTATTAACAAACTCTACGATTTGAAAGCGAGCAGTGGCAACACTTTCCGAAATAAAGCAAATTTTTATCTCCAGCGTGCGAAACTGTTGTTTTTTGGAGAAATGAGGGCGAAAATTAGCATTTTCAGAGTTTTTAATCACTATTTCGGCTGATTAAAGTCGTAATGGTCGAAGTGGCTTTCCACGAATTTTCAGAAACGGGAGTGGGAACTTTCTCTCGAAACTCAACTCCCTGCCGTTCCGCAGGAGATGATGCCACAAACAAACAAACAGACAGACGCGTCAGGTTTTAATATAGTATAAGTTGACTCATTTAAGAATTTATGAGCTGCTCTGAATTTAAAATCTGAACATCTTAAAACTGAGTTCTTTGGAGAACGAAGATAAAAGCATTTTCTTCTTCTGTATGTGTCGACGATGTAGCTAAATACAATGCTGTCTTGCACGATTTTTTTATATTCCAGTTTGTCTATCTTCGTGAGTTTTGACTTCAAATTGTTTCTTATTGTCTCGTTGTATTTTGCTATTTATAAAAGCTGTTACATGAAGCTGCTCTTTTAATTATTTTTTAATTCCGAAGACAAATATGAAATCAAGTTAAACAAACAACAAACCCCCATTATCATTTTCATTACACATTATTTTATAAAGACATGCCTTGCATGGTGCACCCCATCTTCAGCAGCAAGAACCAGGTTTCTTTCTTTTTCTATTTTTGATTCCTGAGAGGATCTTTCATAAACCATAAGTAAATGGAATTGTTACAAATAACACTGTACTATATTGAAAACTAAGTTATACTATATTTAAAAGTTTTGATCAAATAATTGGTTATTTCTTTTTCAGATTAGTGTCCATAAGTATAACTGATCCGTATTAACAGTGTTAATGATTTTAGTTATAAATTAGTTAACCATATGACATTTTAAGAAAACAGATCCTATTTTAAGATTTATCTCTGGAAACAAGGAGATTAAACATAGGGTCGTTAAGGGTTCTGCACGCATCTATGTCATTATTATAATAATATGTTCATTTATATATAATTTATATTTTCATTTATATATAAATGAAAATAAAACATAACTATACATATGTATGCACGAAATTCTCTCTCATGTGAAATTATTTCCAGTTATTAATTATATATGTAAGATGAAAAAGTATGTAAAGCAAAATTCTAACTTTAATTTTCCATAGTTCTGAAACTTTCAATTTTAATTTTGCTGTCTCCCCTTTCTGTCCTAATAAATGTTATAAAAGAAAACAAAATAGTAAAAAATAGTAAATGTTTATAAGAAGCCTCTCTAAGCTGCATTATTTAATAATTAATCCCTGTTATTTGATTCCTTTATAACAGTAATGACGCAGAATATTTTTCAAACTGAATCTGAAAGAACCAATAATAATTTCAGAAAGTTAATATTAAACGATCATATTACAGCTAAATCGAAACTTAATCATGCTGAGCTAAATTTTCATCTTGTATACATCGCATTCACTCTCTGCGTCTGTTGCTAATGTTTCTTACGTGACTCTAATGACGCAGATAATTCTCAAAAGATGAAACTCTAAGAACCCCTAATAATTTTAAACTAAGCTTCCCTCTTCAGCACTTAGCATTCTATCTCCATTTCTGTTGCTAACTATATCCGTCGATTGCTACTTCGTGATTTCTTCAAATATATTTTCAAACTTTAAACTGTGCCGATGTAATTTTTAAGAACAGACACTTATTGTGCCATTTTATCTGTTTGGCTAAAATAATACATAAATAATAAAATAAATATAAATAATTATCTAATAGAATGAAAAGAAATATTGAAAGGGCCATATGACTGCAATTTCTCCATTATGCCATCAATTTATGCCATTATTTTATCTTCTTCTTCTTCTATGTCTTATTTCGTGTATATAAGAAAAAGACTCAAATATCTATGTAAATATATCGTAAGAAATGTTTTAAAATGAATCAAAATAATAATACATTATGCTGAAGACTAAGGTTAAGTTATAGTTATTTAAATTACTTTAGCGACATGGAACAACTAGGCTAATTCATTCCAAATTTAAACATACGCTAACCTGGCTTCATGTGAGTCAAAAGTATGCGTATTACATTCCTAGTTGTCAATTTACAGATTATGCATTTGTTATTATTCTTTGTGTATTTTATGAAATGAAATGTGTGTAAAAACACAATTTTTTTAATGTTCGAGGTGTCTGACTAATCGTTGGTGTGAACGGGACCATCGACGTTGACGCTCGTTGTGATTCAGTTAATTCCATGCGCGGGGTATTATGTCGAAATAACTATTTAGCGCCTTTGGTTAATGAACGTGTGAATCGTAACTGTTATTCTCATGTAATTATTCCTTTCATCTTGAGGCTCGGAGCACTGCTACGGAAGTTCCATTTTCGTTTGCTTTACTGGTTATTTACTTAAACAAAGTAGGAAAAACATTATTCCTCCTTTATGCAAAACCACTTCGTTTGTATAAAGATGGTAATGAAAAATACATTAAAAAAAAGAGCTTGACTAAATAAGCATCAATCTTTTATAAAATGTTATACTGGCACATATCAAAAACGGCAAAAACGGTGTATTTGTATAAAAATGAATAATTTTATAAAAAAAAAACATGTACTGTTGCAACGATGCTCTTACTTTTATGCAAATATATTAACTTATTTTGTCTAGGGAGGGCTTTGTTTAAAAATGCCAAAGGTGGCAGTACCTTTATGCGAAAGCTTGCATCCTCATAACGGTGTTGACATTTTTTGTTTGTTAGCAGTTTGCAAAGAATTAGAATAACGATACAGAATAACGATGTACGATACATCGATAATAATTATATATATATAAAGTATTACGTATATAACAAATCTTTTATGAATTATTACAGGAATTACTAAGTTATCCAAAAGAACTTATGAGGCTTTGTTATTTTGTTTAACCGAGTATATCAAAGCACTCGTGATATACCTGTCTGAGAAGAGAGATAACTTTATAAAGAAGTTACTAATAAAGGTCGACTGAATTAATTGAACTTCATTTATATAATAAGAAAAGTGAAAACAAGCATCTGCTTTTGTAAAACATAAGTATGATTTAGGTACTATAAATGGTAATGGACAAATTTATGAACAGGAGAATAAGGGAAGCAATTGCAAATTACTAAATTACTATTTATCTCATTATATTAGCTTGCTAATTTGTGATGCTGCTTCCAACAGTTTCCTATATTTTAAATATTGCAACTCGTTTATGCTTTGCATTCCCTGTACCTACAAAAAATGGGAAGTTACAGGAAAAAATATTAGCTGTTAATCTTATTATTGAACCTCTGAGAAGCGAAAATAGATACAGTTCAGTCTGAGCAATCTGAAGTAATCTGAGTGTCATTGAAGAGTGACAATATCGTAGCAGCATCCGAAGTTCAAAACACTGCAGATTCACTTCAAAAAGATGCTCGTTGAAATATCTTTACATATTTCCAGTTTAACAGCAATATATTAAATGACTGAAAACAAAAAGGATTATACTTGATACAGTTGTCAGTTTAGTAAATAAAGTACTGCATATACGATCACAATGTTGTAAATTCTTAGCAGAAATGAAGAATGTAGCACACTATGAAACGACGTCCGAAATTTTGAGAAAACATGGCAACAAATTTAGTGGTGTTCCGGCATAAATTCTGGAGTCATCTGGTAAAAATTTTGTACTATTTAGGAAAGAGACCATTTTACTTAAATATGCCGGTATACTTGTAACGGGACAACCTTTATGAAAGCTTCTTTCCATAACATTACGTAACGATACGAATCACTTGTTGGTACCTGAAAGCGTGACGTGATTGACGCTAACAGTTGTGTAGCTGATATCTCTACAAGAAGCAGTCACAGGACTGCATCGCAGTTACTTGAACTCCTCTGGAAATATTTTGGAAATTGACTGGCCATCGTACGAAGCTTGAAATATTCCCATAAAATCTCATTTTTTAAAGAAAACTGGAACTGAAGTGAACTAGATAATAAATTTAGTTACATAATAGCATTCTAAATTGTTAATAAAATTCTTTTGATTGCCTTCTTCTACTCTGTAGAGACATTAGGTTTTTTTTATGGAAGTGGGCAAGAGGAAAAATTAGCAAAGCCTTCGCCGGAAATCGAACCACGGACCTCTGGAATACGCTCCCAGCGTGCAGACCACCCCACCACGAAGGCATGTCAAGAAGGTGGAAGAAATGCCTTATATTCTCCCCCCCCCTTTTTTAGCGACTGGGTTTTTTAGGGGACCCATTCGCCAAATCCTGGGGGGGGGGAATCATCATCCACCACTCTTTTAGTTCGGGCGCCACTATAGAGACATTACTTTTTTATGGAAGCAGGCAAGATGAAAAATTAGCAACGCCTTCGCCGGGAATAGAACCGCGGACCTCTGAAATACACGCCCAGCGTGCAGACCACCACACCACGAAGGCATGCCAAAAAGGCGGGAGAAACACCTTATAACTTTTATAAAACTGATGTTATAATATTTACAAATTAATCTTTCCAATATTTTATAATCTTATGTTACGTTACACTGCCGGAATTTTTATATGTGGCTTGGTAAACTATTAGATTTCTTAAGGGCCGATCCTTAAGTTTTATTATTATTATTATTATTGTTTATATTTAAAGTGAAAGCAGTATATTACAAAACTAAGTGATTGTTCTAAACGCAAGTATTCTTTAATCATTTAATTTTTAATGGCGGTTCTAAGTTTCATAGCTTTTAATACGTATAATAAATACGTGATTTATAATATATTTAACTATCAATTTCTTATACATACATGCCTTATCATTGTTATTAATGAAATATGATTTTAAAATAAAACCGATGAGGCATATTGTTCGCAATGTGGAATACTTGTTTGCGAGATACTTCAAAATTAATTTTCCTTTAATTTTCTTTAGATTGAAAAGGAGTGAAAGAAATCACATTGCCATCACATTCCGTACGACTCAAGATACTGGGTTATTACTCTGGATGAACAAAGGGACCAATCTGAGAGGAGATTATTTAGCCATCGCTATAGTCGACGGTTTCATTCAACTTAGTTTCAACTTGGGTAAAGAAGAGGTTCCCCTTATCATTCCTAGCTCCGTTCAAGTGAATGACAATAGCTGGCATACAGTTGTCGTGCGAAGGTTAGAACTGAAGATTCATATGCATGCGTTTTCTATTTGTATGCTGTTATTTATATTATCTGTGAGGAACTTCAATCCCCAAATAAAGAGAAATTCATAAATGAGTAAAACTAGTTCATAAGGGTCGCATTTTCATTTATTTCGCCGAAGATGTTCGTATAAATTTAGTTGATTACTTTGGAGGGTCACAGAAAAACGAATTATTTTCGCTGCATGAACTTTTAAGGTCACTCAGCCGAATTTTATTTTTTTATTTCTGGTGGAAAAAAATATAAGAAACAGAAATACGTAGCAGCGGTGCATTATCTGAAAGATTTAATGCTTTGAAACCTTCTTGCAATCAAATATGTTTTTAGAAGGTGAGTTGATGTAGAATATTAACCGGGCTTTAGTACCCCTCCATTGATGAAGATATGAAATTGCTTTTCCCTTTTATCTAGAAGAGTATTTACTGTTAGTAAACTGTTCTAAATTCAGAATATATGACATTTTTTTAGTAAAAGTATCTTCGTGCGTTACAGTTATTTGGATGATTTATTCTTGCTTTGAAGCCGTATAAATTTAAGCTTTCTGTTAATTTATGTAGAGTTTTTAATGTTTCGATGATTTAAGCGCTACAAAAAATGATAACAGCCGTAAGTATACGTATTACATTTCTTCGCAGCTCTTTTGACATTGTATAATCATATGTAAACAAATCTGCACCACATACTACATGGCGAATATTTGGTGTCATGCCATCGCATTTTGTTTGACAAATGTGCAGTTTATAATTATTAACAAAAAATTTATTAATTATCGTATTAGCCATAATGTGTTATACACTAATATACACTAACCATAACAAAAACTTATATAAAATGCCTGTGAGTTTTGTTTGGTGCAAATAGTAGTTGCCTTTATTTAAGTATTGCAGCATAAAAATGAGAAGCAATTATGCGCTTAGGTTTAGAGTCTCCATAAATAAAATTAAACCATCGCTTGAGTTTGCTAGAAATATACATGGATAGCGCGTTTTGGCGAACATAAAATATTTTATTTTTTAGTATCTAATACTGCCAAAATAAGAGTATTTTGCATCTTATATAATGAAAAGGAAAGTTTTCCCCTATTTAACTGCAGAATATTTATTGGAATAAAACAGCATAAAAGAGAAATATTGCGTCACTTGCATTCCAATAAATACATATTTGGCTTACAGAAAGAAGACGAGCGTACCGATTTATCAATTATTCGTTTGGACTGCGGTCTTAATTATTCCGAATAATTAAAGTTCTACTCTATATACGTCAGCCCGGAACCTTTTTAGTCATACAGATTGAATTAAAGAGAACTATTTTAGAAACAAGCGCGTTCTTAATAACTTACATTTATCGAAAGATGCAAACAAAGAACATGATTTAGGAGTCAAAATCGGAAAAAAACGAAACAAAAAAATCTTACGAAACTATACTCAGATGAAAATTATCATCTCATATTGCTTTTATTTTGAAGGGTAATAATAAAACTTACGGATGAATACGAAAACTGGGAGGAAGCAAAATTGCTTTTATTTTAAATAAGTATCTTGAATAGTGAAAAGAATCGCGAAAAAATAGAACGTATTCGTTGCCACTGGTTCTGTTGGAAGTAGCAGTAAAAAAGCATCACAAGGATTTTTTAAAATCAAGATTACATGTTTTAAGAATTTCCGTTTTTTTCAATTCATTATGAATCATTCCTTAGTAAAGAATTAATTACTTATATGGAATTATAGGCAACAAATAAAACGAATTATTGCTTTTCTTGATAAATCTTATTGGTAAAATTATAAACAGTTATAGTTTTAGACTAATGCATCTCATTCGGTACCTTCTGAAACTATATACGTTTGTTCCATAGTTATGTTAACTAATTTAACCGAAACACAAATATATCAGTTATCTAAAATGATGCATTTTTAGTTCTAGAACGTTTCTAATTCAATGTATTAATTAATTTATTTTCATTATTATTTCTTCAGGAGTTTAAGAGCAAATTGAGATAATAATTCATTTTTGTAGAACAATCATGTACACTTATTATTATAAAATAAATTTCATCAAATTATTTCATTAATAACTGCATCCATTTTTGTATATAGAAAATTTCGGGATATTTAGATACGCATAAATATTAACATAAAGCAAATCGCTGGATGTGTTTTGACTAATTCTACACTATGATCTTATTATCTTATACTATTATCTTCTTCTAATTATAATATTATCTAAAATTTAGTTAGATAATTTTTCAAAGTAAAATTTTTGAAATACTTTGGGTGACGTGATGTATTGAAGACTTTTTTAGTATTTTTTATTAAAAAAGCGTGATACCTTATTAATTAATTATTATCTTTATTAAAAAGTGTGATCTTTTATTAAAATGGCCAAGTTATATTACCGCATCATAGAGAAAATATAAATTTTATAATTTAATGATTGTTTTAATAGTAATCTTAGCTAAAAACAAACAATTTTGTTTGCTAGAACAGGTTATTAGTATGCTTTAAATATGCAAATTCCATATTCTTAGTGTGAGAATTTCCTAACTTTTCACAATTTTACTTTCAGGAATAAAAGACTGGCTCATCTTACTGTAGACAACAAAGACCCCATTACCAGGATATCTGAACCAGGAGCGACTGAATTAAATACAGACGGAATTTTATGGATTGGTTAGTAGTAATCCTTCCGCTATACAAATAAAATTTCATGCGCTTTCGTCTTATAAGACAATGTTTCCAAATTCCAAACATTTTAAATTTTTATCCCATTAGAAACTAAAGTTATCAAATTTCCTTTCAGATTCTTACACAATAGTCTTGCTTTACATAATGTTCCTCAGCAATGCGTGTTTTTCAAAAACCCCTAACATTCAGGGCGTTTGTATATTTATGTGTTTTGCATATAATATATTCCCTCATCTTTCCCATATGTTTTCAATAATGTCCAGGTTACAGCAATCTTATTATAATAATTACTAAAATTAAAACTTCATGCAATTACGATTTAGCAGTTTCTTATCATATATTGCTTGCAATATGGAATGAATTAGATTATTTACTTGTTGCAATGTATACAAGAATTATCTGCCTAGATTGAGGAGCGATTTCGTAGAGCAATTTCAAACGGAAAATGTCTCATAAAAGTCTTGGATCTTCTATGAAACTGCAGTACACTAGGAATAAACAAAAACGTTTCAGAGAGTACCCGAGCACATCACATGTTAAAAAATTACTTCACCTTTTTTTTCTTTAAGATTCCAAAGAAAAAGGGAATTCCGTACTTTCACTGGAATCTAATTCCTAGGAATTGTTCTAATAATGTTAAGAAAATATTTATTAATGCTATTAGATTGATAACTTTATAAAATCAAAGACGGGAATAGCAGATTATTTTCAGTCTTAATATTAAGAATCAGATAGGGATACAAATAATCATCTTTCAGCACTGAGCAAGATCCCTTTCTAAAGTAGTCAGTTGATTTACTTACCTTTGGGAACTGAAATAAAATATTCAAGTTTCCTTTCTGATAAGACATCTGTGGGAGTGCATCTGTGGAGTATGATTTATTTTCTTCGTTGTTATTTTCCATTGGTTGAAGGAGTTGAATTAGAAAGCTGCGCCCAGAAATGTCGGTTCATCAATGAAAATTTAATATTCCATCTCTCAGTTCTAGAATTAGAATTAAAGTATATGTTCATGTAACATTTTCATGTAACATGGAAAGGAAGGGTACTCTGCCGGAAATCTTTAGTTGGCAGTTTTCTTTTAGCAAGACTCTCAGAAAAATGTGTCAAAATTTTGTGCCAGATATTTTGTCTTGGTAGCTGTTCTTTTTGTTTCTATTGTTTTAATTCATGTAAAAAGTCAAATGCAAAAGTAAAGTTTTATTTAAAAAATTATTATCGTGTCCCGTGTGCATTGAAGCGTATACAGCTTTGATATTCCAGTAAATCTAACATTTAACTATTAAATTTAAAATTGCTCATATATGTTCATCATATATTGAATTTATGATGATACAGTGTATGTAACCTATTTCATATTCAAACATTTATTTTTCCCAATAGCGAGCACTTGCCTAACGGCATTGGCCACTCCTAAGGCTAGAAATGGTGGCAATTTTACTGTGGAGGCACCTAAAGCGCCGCTTCCACTGGGGTTTATCTGAGCTAACGGAGTCAGTTCCATGTGTCGACTAGCTCCGCTGTGCCTGCACTTCAGATTTTTTAACTTACTGCCCTATGGGGAAAAACTGGTTTTGGAGATGGGTCGACTACGTTAGTTGCGTTCGTTAGCTCAGATAAACCCCAGTGGGAACGGCCCTTTATAGACAGCCACTTTTCCTCCTGTGAAGTTACAGGCAATTTTACATTCATGCTTTCTCCGGGATTGGAACCCGGGCCCTTTGATATCGCAGTCAGGCTCGCCTAACCTTTATACCGTCTGGACGGCTTATTCAAACATATAATGCTGGCTTTGAGATATGAAGTACATAAGCTGACTGAAACGCTTTGTTAGTGAATTGTTTAAACTCATAGCATTATAATCCATAGATTTCTTCCTCTCTTCAAAATGTGATTCCTTCATGTTTAATTATTCTTTTCATAGTGTTTTGTGAATGATTTAAAAGCCTGTAGTAGACTGTTTTTATGATCTCCGCTTAACACTGCGGGCGTGGTAATTTTTACTTACTCAATAAATAATGACGTTTATATTTAAATATGAAAGGATGATGTCAAGCATAATTAATGCATTTAAATTGAAAATTAAACAAAGAATACCCTGCTATCATTTTCTTGTTTCTAATTATAGGTGGTTCTTCAGCTGTGCCTTTAGGATTCCCAGCTGCATACTATCGAGGCTTCAGTGGTTACATCTCCTCAGTGATAATCGACAATGAATCATTAAACCTATCCGATGGCTACTTCAAATACTGCCAGCCTTCCTGACAGTTGCGAGCTGACCACTTATACCTTCCATAACGTCGGGTAAATGCGAAAAATAATACGAGCACAAGGAGCATAAACTTCAAAGAATGTGCCGCCCAAAAGACACTGTCTCTGCTTCCAAGAACTTATCTGTTTGTGTGTGTGTGTCTCATTGTCTGTATGTTTGTTTAAATGTGATAATGGCTCGTTTTCCGGTTCCATTGCGTGTTCTTAAACTACGGTATATTATACGAACCAGATGTCATGGTATTAATATCAGATGCTTACCCCTTTAGCAAATTATAAAAGTTTATGTAAAGTATTAGAATAATTTGCTCGGTGTAAGCTAGTGATGGTGCCAGATTGTAGTTATATTGAAAAGAAATATTAAAAAAAGTACGTTTCTCTATAAATATTCATCAACAAATAAATCCTAACATCATTTTTAAGATATTTTCTTAGACAAAATCCACAGTCCGTTTTAGTTTAGGGATGAAAGGATTTAATTACTTACTTCGAAATCATGTGCTTGTTTTATTTAAGCGTGGGGGGATATGCAAGAAAAATTAAAATATTGCTTAATATTTTGCGGTAATAACCTATTTAATTAACAATATGGGTATTAAATATTACTGTTTTGAGTGCTGACATAAAAACGCGTCCAAAAGTCCCACCTAAACCTGAAAATAATGACATTACTTAATTGAAAAATGTTGTGGATAGCCGTCACACGCAAATTATTTTTAAGAAAATGTTATTCCTTATATTTACGCTGAGGGAAAGTTAATTCTGGTTGCATTTAGACAGTATTTAAATAAGAAAACTAAAATCGTAAATTTAAATACTGCGACTGGTGAACACAAGAATAATAAAATGATTAGGAAAAGACTCAGATTTCGTTTATATTCTGTTAACCACTGATATCTAAAGCAAAACCAGAAAAATAGAGATAAATTTTCTGAAATATTTTTATGCAAGTTACTAGTTGCTAATGTGTGCGCTTTAAATTTGCAATCATGGATAATTTTCCAGTATGGGTTTTTACATTAAACTCTTGAATTTTTTAAATAAATAGTTAAGAATCTTAATAGAAACTTCTAAACAATCAGATTCTTCCATGCTTATAATTTTTGTCTCTTGACTGTTATTTTATTCGGTCTTTTTCTGCTAGATTTATCAGAAAGACATTTTAGCTTTAATATCTTCTGAAGTCAGATTTAGGGATTATAATTATGATCTTAAAGGTACAATTCTTTAGGTGTACCTTATTTCAATAACTTTGTTTCGATTTCCTAATTTTCTCACTAGATGGTGCTATGTTACGTACTTAAATATTACGCTTATTGATAATATTTTTGATTTCTAACGAGAAAGCACTTCTTTTAACTTTCTAAAACATAGCTGAATTATGAGTTCCTAAAAGAGGCTTTGATAGAAGTTAGAATTTCTTAGAAGGGCACTGTGAGATTCTAATGGCTAAAATATAATATTTATTAATATTTTATCAAAGGAAAAATTTTCTATTTAGATTAAATATTTAAATATATTATATGAACACCTGCTGTCGCTCCCGTTATATTTTTTTTTTTATGTTAAGCTCTAACCAGATATAATAATGGAGTTAACTTTCCTAAAATGTTTAACCATTTTCAAAATTTCAGTGTGATTTATAATATGAATTATTTTGGAATTGTGATGCACAGAAAAAGTTGTGAAAGTTTTATGTACACTCCAAGATATCAAGCATGCACTCAAGCTAAGGGTTAAATAATAAATAAAACACGAATGTTTATTTACATATGATAGCACAGACTTCAGCAGAATTTAATGTAGGTGGTTATTAGAAAGGAGTTCCTCAAAATACATTCGAAATGCGAGGGAATGAAATGAAAGCAAAAAGTATTTTAAGAAAAATAAAATTATAGAAAATAATTAAGTTTAACTAATCAAATTAGCATAAGTGCAAATATGTATTTAGGAGTTCAAAGGGCAAAAACGTATTTTTGGAAAGGAGAAAAACTATAGCTCAAGACATTGTTGAATTCCACACTTTGCACTGAGGCATGCTAATAATCTGATTTCCGATGCACTGATTGCATGATTTTCTTGAAGATCTTTAATGTTATAGCAGTATACATAAAACATGTTTAAAATTACTGAGTAATGCCCTTCCCAATTGGATTGTACAAAATAAATATTAAAAACTGATTTTTAAGTACGAAAATGTTTAAAGTATGGGTTGCAGACCATGAAGAAATTCCCATGGGACAAATTTCATAAGTTCAGGGTGAGGGGCAGAATGCAGTCAGCTTATTATATAGCTATTAAGTATTTAGTTTTAGTTTATAAACATAAAAAGTAATTTTTATTTATCAGCATTATCTATAGTTTTTGTTGTGTTGTTTTGTGTGTTGTAGTTTCTTAACGTGTTTTTGAAATTAATTAAAATCTAAATATATGTGTTATATATTTTTTGAATTTTGGAAAGAAGGTGATAATGATCTTCTAAGATAAAAGAGATGCATGAGGGAAAACAAGTTGTGAAACACAGTTTTCAGAAATAGAGTTTGGAATATTATGAATTACTAATTCATTTGTGCTATAGATGATGTCTGTTTATTTGTGTGAAGAAATAGTTTGCTAATTTTGAAAGAGACATTAAACGTTTTTAAGTATTTCAGTATTTAAAAAAACAAAATAAATGTGTGTAAAACTTCTTCTCAGAGAATCAAGTAAATATCTTCTTCTTTATTTTATATTTTTACTCAATCCAAACTAACAGCATGGGTTTTAATCTGTGTTTTATCAGAGTTATTGCAAGATTACAGATTATTTAAAAAGTTTTATCATATAATTAGATATTGAAGTGCCGAAACATTTTACTTATTAACTTCATAAATAACTAAAATTATATAATTTTAAATTAACAACTAACTATTAATTTTTAATTATAGGGATTGTTATTGTTGTAGGAAATGTGATATGGATTTCTGTAGCTAAGAAACAACACTATTTGGGCACATAGAGTTGTCTTATGCGTGCCCTCATAGATGGACTGCAGTTTTTACTTTTTTTTTTGGGGGGGGGGAGAATTTTAATATCACCCCCCCCCCAAAAAAAAAGATTCGTATGTATTCACAAATTCCGACAAATAATCATCTGTTATAGAACACTTTTAAAAACATTTGTAAATTACGCACCGCGTCTTTATACGAAAAAAAGAAAAGTGTATATGTATATTGTACTAAGAAATGTATTTTAATATAGCACATGATTTTTATTGCATAGAGTATTGTTTAATGTACTTCCCCCATATTTCATTAATTGAATGATAATTCAAGATGGCTATCCCTTCATTTTTCAGTATATTGATCACATTATGAAAACTTCTTATCCATGTAGCTGAAGTCCAGAATATTTGCATTCGATAAAATCATATTAAATCTTTCTACGGCAAGATACAAATTTTCACAAATTTCCTAAAATTGGTAAGCATTGCTTTTAAATATTTCAGAACAGTTTGAAAATTCATTTTCTTAAAGAGACAGTAATAAAATAAATAGGTACTGAAAGGTATCACGTATTTCATTTTTAGGCAAAATGTTGTTAAAAGGTGAATGTACGATATATTTCAGTGTTACAATGCTTCACATCTTCTGCAGTATTAAATTCGATATTTAGCGGTGTAAAAATAAAGAAATAATATATAATTATAAAATTGTTAAATGTATTGTGTACTTTCGAGCTGGTAAAAAACGATACAGTATTATTCGAAAATATATTAATGGTCACATTTTAACACGTCTATAATTAACCGTGGAACGTTTTTGTTGCATTATGTTTTAAAATATTTTAAAAACATATATTTAATGTGAAAATTTGATAATCTACTTAATTACAACACATAATTTAAAGAAAACTATTCGCTATAGCTTGGAGTATTTAGGTGTTTTAATTTCAAATAAAACACTTTTTGAAGAAACACTTTAGGAGTCCAGTGATTCAGTCTCTGATCGTATAGTTCTTTGTTAAATATAATTACTTTGAGTAAAACTGAAATAGCAGTGCTGAAAAGGTTTTGTGCAGTTTTCTTAAAATTTCTGGATATGAATGCTAAATAATAAATAAGAATAAGGTAAAAAAAGTTCGAGCAAAAGAAAACTATTACCTACATCATATTAATGGTACGAACTGGCTTCATTGTTTAAAATGAATTCCGACACTTATCATGGGACTGAAATATATAAATATCATATAGTCTCTTAAATAACTGCTGATCATGTCCATTCCGCTGCAAAATACATACTGTGGTCTGATAGGTTTCATTTAAGCCTATAAAGCACATCGAATGATGTATATTTTAAAATGATGACATATCTTATGTGGAGGCCATTCTTGCCATGTGAGAGACCATGGTGGTATCTCGTAGATATTCTTTGGAATGTTTGATGAAAGTGAACTTGCACTATTTTTCTGTGCAATGCTTACACCAACTATGAAAAAGAATGCTGTTTGTACTAAAATCTCATAAATGTACTAAGCAGTTGCCAAATCCCATAAATAAAAAAAAAAAATTAACTTCTATCTAATGGATTACCAGGTCTTAAAATTACATTAAATTAGACACATTCAGTCAGTTTGTCTCATTCTTCATTCCAGCGTCATTCTATTCGTCTGTAGTTTGTGTTTAAATAAAGGCAAGATTCGTCACTGATGACAACTAGACGTTCATTTTCCAACATAGATTACTAGGGAACGCCTTCTATCCAGTGGCTTAGCTAGGGTGGGGCAAGGGGGAAAATCCGTCCCCGGGAGCAACATCTAGGGGCGCCAAATTGATGATACACATTTCAGAATTAAATGTTTCCCATTTTGGGGACACAGAAAGGGGCGCAAAATCTTTAGGTGTCCCCGGGCGCTGAAAACCTTAGCTACGCCTCTGCTTCCATCCAAGTTCATTTAGAGTTATGTTTGATAACAAGCTGCACAGCGCTGGTAAGAAAACCATTTAGTGACTGACGGATTGGGTGATGACAATTCTGACAGCGGTAAAGTGGGTCTAGGATAACTCTTGTCGTCTAATGAGACGATCATTAAGCTCTGTCTCATATACTCATCAGAGAAGCTTTCTGTGTTGTAGACCCAATGTGAGGAACGTGTAAAGCTTTTCTTTTAACAAAGATAACACAATGATCGATCTATATGATCTCTAAGAACATCGTTAGACCATTCTATCTCTGCCCAAATGTGCCGCGATATTTCTAATTGCCTAAATGATCACGTGCAAGTCAACTACCGGTACTTTCTCGACGGTTATCGTAGGTGTGATATACTTTGGACGAAAGGACAATGAGTCTTTGCCTCCACTGTCTTGGAAAGCGAATATCTAAAGGGAAGATGGAACGGGGCAGAATTGAGAGACATAACGGGGCGCATTTCCTCATCATATTTTTTAACATGTTAATATCTAACGAGATATACTTAAATTATTATTACCTATTTATTTACACGTGTGACATTAATTTTGATTCAGTTTTCTATCCGTTTATATTGTGAAATTGCGAGTATCTAATTTTTTATCAGTCTGTCGTAATATTTGATGGCTTTAGCTTCAGCGTTAATAGACGATTTTTTTTATTTGAAAACATACATACTCCCCGTGCACCACAGATGTTCAACATGGGCCTTACAGAAGTAAATTAACTAAAACGTTAAAAGTTACATGCATAAATAAAATGAACAAAAGCAGAGAACAGCAGTCTGGACTTCACGAAAACAGATAAGTTCACTGGCCAAGTCACTCCGAACATTTTCAAATCGGCTGCAAGCATAATCTAGGGCCATCAAATGTAGGGCATGAGAAAATCAAATGTTCCACATACTGAGGTACTTTTTTTGAAGATTCACATAAATTGTTTGATCTAAGATTAAAAGGAAACAGGTAACTTTAACAAATTTACCGTCTCTATTAATTTTAAAGTTTCTCAGTTTTTATCTGGTTAGTAGATGATTAAAATTATTTTATTTAACTGCAATTTAATAAGATTATAGCAATTTATTTCTCACGTTTTGTAGTTTCTTTGAATTCTAACATAAACTCTAGTCCATAGGTTGAGTGATTCAGCCCCTAAAAGTTTTCTACAGATTATCAGATAAGCCTAAATAAGACTTAAATTCGTTTTTTTTTCCTTGTTTTGTTTTGTTTTGTTTCACCTGTTAAGTCGTTACATTATAAAGAATTTGCGAATTATGACTGAGGATAATGAATAGCGTTACACAAACAGCTATCATAGTATAATCCTACTAGAGCACTTCAGGTAAGTAATTATGCAAGTGAGTTCCTAGAGGAATAAATGAACAGTCGTTGAGCTAAAACATTAAGTTGAAAGGCGAGTCATTTGACAAGGAGAAAACAGAAGATTGGCTGTGGATCTTCAAAGCTTAGTGACTAGTTGTTAGAAGATAATTTGAGGTACTATACTATACAGGCTTTGTTGGGGTGGCATAAAATAAGGAAATGTAATTTATAAAACTGGATGCCAGAAAAGGTTTAGATTAACGCACAAAAATAAGAGGTAAGTAAAATATACAAAAGTTAATAATTTTCCATTATAGACAACATGGGCGAAGAAAATGTGGGAATGCTGCATAATTTTGATCAGTTTGATACTTCACTATGACCTTTAGTTTAAAACACTTTTTCAATATTCCTAACAAGAACTTTAACTTCTGTGAGCTACTATTTCAGTTTTACTCACTCTGTATTAAAACTAGCAACTGAATGTTAAATATGATTTTCATTGTACATTTCCTTATAACAAATGGATTGAAAAAAGCAAATAAGCAGTTCACCTCAGTTGATATTTGTTTGTAGTTTCCTTTTATTTCGGAAGAATGAATTTAAAAAACTGGACTACAGTTTAAAGATTAAATGTAATAGATAATGGAAAGATATTTTTAAAAAGAACAAACACAATTTTCAATCTAGCAACATTGTCGTTAGTTTAATACTGTATTTCCAGAAGCTGAAATTTTAATGTTTCTTTTCTTTTATAGATTATACAAAATAAAAATTATACTTAAATCATTTAATTAATATTGAGAACTATACTACAGAATAACACATATTTTTCCTTTGCTTTACAAAAACTGAGAAGCTTCGATATGTACCTACTTAAAACCCAAACATATCACATAAAAACTCTTATTATTCAATAATTCAAATACTCAATAATACTTGTTGTAATATACAAATACTTGTTGTAATATATGCTAAATGCGAAGCTTACTATGATGCTTCGTGTTGTAGTTGTAAATTAATAATTAAAATTTACTCATTAGATTCAAAGTGAAAAACATATCAAATGCTTCTTCCAGTGTAAAACATATCCTTATTATCTTTTAAGCTGAGTATTCTTATTAATGATTTTGAATTCATGTATGGTTTATTATAAATTAAAAGTGCCAAATTTGTTAATACCGTCTACAGTTCAGAAACCTTCGTATTAAGGTAATGGGTTAGAGTGCTATGTTGTTTCTCTTTATATATAGACAGCAGGAAGAAAGCGTAGAAGTATATTTTTCTTATTACATTCCTCGTATTTATTTTTAAGGTTTATTTTCAGTCCTTTGCAGAACGGAAAAGATGTGTTGAATATTTTGTATTGTTGTTTTCCTTTTGTTTTAATGTACTGCTTTAAGATATGCATTTTATTTATAGAGCATGAATATATTATATTTTAAATTAAATCTATGTAATCATAGCGCATACTTATCAATGTATTTAATATAAATATAAATGTATCTTAAGGTGCTTAAGTATGTATTATATTTGTGTTTCCTCACAACAATCAGTTAAGTCCTAAATCTTGTCTTCCATAAACCTTTGAATTTAAATGAAAAAAAAAGAAAAAATCGAGACTTTGCAGCTAACTATTCTTTAAATATTTTGCTTTCTGTATGAAAAATACGAAAAAAGAAATAGAAAATTTTAAAAATCTTATCGTTGTGCCTTAAAGTATATTATCTTGATTGACTGTGCTCAAGAATGTATAATCGCTAAATTGCTATAATTTTATTGTAGACATTGTCTTTGAATTAGTTTGCGTTTTCTCAGTAGCAGAAATTATCGAAAATGCTGAGCACTATTATTATATCTAAATTTAAAATTGGAAGCATGTGTATTACATTTCGGATACAAGCTTCCCCCCGCTTCACGTAAACACGTTCGTGTGAAACCTTCATAAACCGAAAATGCAGTTATTACTACTATACATGGGAAAAATGTTCATATTTAAAAATATTAATTATGCCAGTCGTACCGTAAACTAAAATAATGGAAAAGAAATTTATTGAGTAAAAGAAGTAAAAGGTTTGTGCTTATATTTTTAGACACACCATAACTCTACATGGAATACTTTATGTCTTCACGTAGTGTTTAAAGAAGTTTCTTATCGATGCCTTTATCTCTCCGTTTCTTCATAGGTCACTAGCGGCCAAAGCGATAAAGTCACTGAACATTGGTAGTTCGGTCCATTGTTCAAATTTCGGGAAACGGGCTGGCTGCATGGGCGTTTATGGGATTTTGCCTATGTGTAACTTTTATAAGAGTCAGTTTTCCTTAAAATTTCTACGCGGAGGTATCAGTTTCCTTAGCAGATAACCCTCGACTGCTTTGTCGTGATAAAAAAAGCCGCTTTCCTCCTATAAATGGATTTTCATTCTCCACGTACGTACTCAACTGAGTCTTCAGAGCGTCTAAAGTAGAGTTGATCAAAAAAAGGACCGAGCACACGAAACAGGAACCAAAATACACCGAACAACTTTGATGAAGTTTAATTGCTACTAAGTGGAAGCTTTGTAGCAATTAAAGCTAGGAAGCTTAGTAGCTTATCTGTAGTTAGGAAGCTCTCAGCTTGCGGCCGCTTCCACTTAGCTGTAATTAAGCTTCATAAATCAATTTTCATTGCCGTGTCAAATAGGAAATGCAAATTTTCAGCAGTAATAATGATGTTATAAACTGACAAACAATATAAAGCAATATTAATTGATAGCAGAGCAGATTAGTAATGAACACCAAAAAATAGAAATAACATATATACAATGCAGTTTCGATTTATAGAATTAAAAAGAGAAAGATAACATTAGAACCCATAAATATGGTGGTAATGACAATGCAGCATTGATCCGTCGGTGATTCGAAAGTGGCAGATACAGGGCGTACAGTGTAGGATAAAAGAAATCATAACATATCACCTCCTTTTTATTTGTACCTATCGATCAACATGTCATAGAATTCCTGTACCTTCCTACCACAGAGTTGATATCTAAATTTGTTGTGGCATCTATGGTTTAAGGATTGTGGATAGTACGCTCGGCTACTAAGAATGACATGTTTTTGTTTGGCTTCCGAACAGGTAATCAAAACGTTTTTCAAAAACTGCCTTAAACGCATACCCTTTATAGTTTTTCTGTCGATTACCGCACAAAACAAATGCTGAACTAGACTTGCGCTTTTCACCTTTCCCAGTTAAAGAGAAAATCGTAATCGGCTTTCTTTCTCTAAACGAAAACGGTACTAATTTATGTCCTTCGTAGAAGCGAAATTTCAAAAAGCAGGGGGATACTTGTAAAGTGAATAATTATTTATTGGTACATTAATACCAATATCAAACTTTAAAATATCAAACTTTACTCATATGAATTTTTTAATCTCAGCTTTAAAGTGAGAAAGCTGTTAATCGCTCGATGTTCTCAGTGTATTGATTGGAATAATAAGTTTAATTTTTTAAACTATCTTTTGAGAATGAGCTCTAAATAAGTATAATGTTCACCACATACAAAGCATGAGAAAGTATCTTCATGTTGCATCAAATCTTTTTATTATGTTCAGCGGAACTGTACTCTTTATAATATGTTTTTGTAGACTTTTGCTCTCAGTACATGTGAGTGCATATCAAGTTATCTCCTATCATTCAAAACCTGTAAACTCCTTTTCATACAGAACTTCTACTTACTATTTTGCAAGTTTGCTTATATAAAAGTTTTACAAATGCTTATAATGTGCATGTCATTGTGTTTTAATGCTTTGCAATAATTTCAAAGCAAATATCGTTCTGTATGTTTAACTTTCTTTTTGAAAACCGTATTAAAAAAACTGAAGGAACACAACTGGAGCTATATGAATATATTTCTGTTTCTTATTTCTAGTATTAAATAATTCATTTCAATAGAACGATGTTGTTAGATATTAATGGTTACTAAGAGCCTAAAATTCATATATTCAGGATCATGTTTTTAAAATATTATGTGGAATATGTACTACGTTTACATCGAAACTCACTGTATTATCACGAATTATATAACTGCAGAGGAAATGTTGTAATCTCGAATTGTTACAATAAAAGTTTTAGAAACCTTTTGAATTTAAATACTTGCATTTTATTTTTTAATTTATTTTGTATTTCTGAAAATAGCTGGTGTCTGAGCATTTATGTACCATTAAAATATTTGTTTTAAATAATGTAAAAAATCATAAAAAGTTATTAAAAATACTTCCAGTTAATATTAAACCTATAAGTAATATACCGTGGTAAAGTGCATGAAAGCTGTGTCTTTTAATCTATATACCTCCACTGAACATTTTTCAGAAATAAAATTACTTATATTGTTTTTACAACAGATCAACAATATTTAAATTCACTCACAAAAATTATATCAAATTCAGAACGAAATACCCAAGCAATGCAAGTATTTCGTGAAATTAACATAATAATTTACTCTTTTTTCATAATAATTTACTACAATTTAAATAAAAGATACGTTTCACCTTTCTACATAATTTGTTTTACTATGTGTCATATAAAATATAAGGTTTAAAACAAGGTTTTATTTTCCTCGTAAAAGAGGATACAGGATAAAGCGAATAACCTAAAGAATTCTTACTGATTTTCTAACAAACCTTACTTAGTTAATTAAATTACAGAGATAATACTAAAAAATGAAACTAAAATGACCACGTCTAAGATAATAAAAAGTTCTATTCTTTTGTAACATCATGATCTTCAAATTTAGTGGGGTAATAGGTAGTAGTATTTAGTAAGACATTTGTAAGAACTGACTGAAGAAGCTGTTGTTGGACTACAAATCGAGGCTTAACTAAATGATACATATATGCAATATCTGATTTTTGAAAAAAGACATAAGAAAACTAAAATATGAAATTAAAAATGTTATTCTTGCTTCTAAATTTATGTTTCTAATACCTAGAATTGAAAAATATTAGTTAAAATTTTACTTATTTTAAACAATAAAGAAAAATTCAGAAACTCCCTGAAAGTGGAGGCCCAGGTACGTATTTCATTTCATCAGCGGCTTCGCCTTAGTGCATGCGATGCATGCCATTGAATTTAAAACCGAGAGAAAAGAATTATTATTCACTCTATCATGTAATAAATTGCTTATTAATTACTTTTAAACTGCAGCTGTGGGCTGAATCACTGATTTCATTGTCAGATTCAAAACAAAACAAGTTGCGCGCTGATATGCCGTCCGTCTCTCATCCTAAAAGAATCGCGCGTTCTGAAAAGTGTTACCACCAGCTGACGAAATATTTACAACAGCCAAAGAAAACACCGGGGACTTGGTGCTATACCAAATAACCGCCATGGTGGAGCGGTGGTGCTCGCGTTCTCCGTCACTAAACTAAACTAAACTAAACCATCTCAAAGCACCGTAACTATGAAAAAGGTGCTGGGAAGGCGAATGCCTTCCTTCTCCTCCTTTTAAATATTTTCATTTCAAGAAAATTAGCCGGTTAGTAGTTATTGAGTTTTAAAAATATCTTTATTTTGGACTTTTGCAACCGTTTGATTGTGACAGAACACGTGCTTGTGGTAAAGATGAAATAACTAAGTTCACATGAGTGACGAAGTAATTTTACACATGCTGGTTACTTCGCAGGACCTTTTTCCTCGAGGACTTCGTCTCTTTCCAACCAAGAAGACTTCGTATGCTGTTGCCTGGACATCAAATGTGAAAAATTTTCACACGAGCAATGTTGTTTATGCTCTCCTGTCTTAGATATCGTGGCGGGAAAAGAAAGAGTAAGTACTTTGTTAATCAGAAAACCCAAATTTTGACTCACTTGTTTGCGGTAGCTGCGCAGCTTAAGTCATTTAGAGGCCATGATGAGTCACAAAATAGACGAAACTACATAGACAGCATTAAAATTTTGGTTGAACGTAAGAACCGTTTTGTCTTAAAAGTGTTTTTAAGGACATTTTGTTAATAGACACTTTTTTGAGATTTTCAAAAGAAAACGCTTGATATTACTGTGAAAAATAAATCGCATAGTTTTAATATGTGGTTCCGTCACAGAGAAATGGTTTTGGAGCAGTATACAAAAATTCCGGCGCACAAGAGAAGAATTGTCATCAAAGCGAACGTGTGTTAACAAATATGAAATCAGCTGACTTTATTTTGAGGTAGACTGTCATTTTATTCGTAATTTTCATTGCATTTTAGCTACTACCCCCTCCACTTAAAAGTTCCTTATCACAACATAGCGAATATATGATTTAAGTCTGCCTATTTTTTATTTTTGTGCTTCTTTAAATTTCCATAAAACAGTGTTTTAAACTCGCAGTAGTTAATTTTTAAAAAATTCAAAAAGGGTGGAAATTAAGCGGAGCGCATGATGTGAAATCTAATTCAAAAACCCTTTAGCCTTCAACCTTTCTTTGAGGTAAAAAGAAATAATCAAAACCAGTATACTTTGCCTTTCTTTATCCGTTACCCTGCTAAAAATGCTCCGTAGAAACCCATAAAACCATTTTATGGGGAATTGGCCTACGGGTACCCATACAGCTCTGCGTACCCATAGGCCAAATCACCGTAAAAACTCACAGACAGAAACCCGTACAACTGTACGATTGCCGGTAGGCCTAATCCCCGTAAAAACTCATAGAAAGAAACCCTTACAGCTGTGCGGGTAATCGTAAGCCAAATCCATGTAAAAACCCATAAAAAAACCCGTACAGCTGTACGGGTACCCGTAGACCAAATACCCGTAAAAAACCTGTAAACAGAAACCCGTACGGATACGAGTAGGCCAAATCTCTGTAGAAACATGTAGAACTGTAGACACTATAAACGAATTCCCAGTTAAAACCCATAGCCAGAAATCAGAACTTTATGCATATCCATTGGCCAAATCTCCATTAAAAAAATGGCTATTCCGTAGGTCTATGCCTCGTAAAAACCAGTAGACAAAAGCACGTACACCTATACAAGCACCCATAGGCCAAATCCTGTAAAACACACTAAACAAAAATCCACAGACCAATAAAGGTACCTCTTGGAAAAATCGCTGCACGAAACAATACACAAAAACCCATAAACAAAGCCAATAGAATTATATTATAGTGGAGTAACCATACATAGAATCGTACATAGAACAGGTATCCATATACAGAATCCCTATAAAAACAATACACAAAAATAGAACTGTAGATCAAATTTCCATAAAAACATAAACCAGAAGAAGTACATAATTAGCACTGATGAAATGTACAGAACTAAATGACAGAGACAGCATGTAGAGTAATTTTAAATAAAATTCAATGCGAATAAATAAAATTTTTTAAAATATCGAGAAGCCTACATGCCCCTGTCCTTATCAATGCAAGTCAATATCTATAAACATATTACAAAATATTTGTATAAATTCTCTTTAGAAAATTTTAAACTCCCATTATATAATTTTGAAAACGAAATGAATAGAAAGATAATAATCAAGATAAGTTCTAAGTCATGATTCACAACTATCGAATGATATATGTACATATATAAAGAATATGCAAAATATTAAATTAGCAGCGTAAAATTAATTTTCTTTCCCTATTCTAAAAATAGTAATTTCTATGCACAGCATCATTTTGAGATTAATTCATGTCATATAAGATAATTTGATGTAGTAAAAGGAACTAAAACTCAAACAGTTAATAATAATTTTACAGCAGTATTAATTATCAAATAAAAATGCTTCGAGAACAAAAATTAACTCGGTCTGAATTAAGCTTTTACCCTTAATATAACGCATTCGCTTTCTATGCTTTGGCCTAGCTGGATTGCAGTCTGTCTGCTCCTTCTTTCTTACTACACATTTATCAAAAATGTAAATTTTTGGAATAGGCATAAATAATGTGCCAACTTGTTTGTGGCTGCAACATATTTGCTGAAAGAAAAGTTGAATTAAATCTACCTCGACTCGCCAAATTTCTTATTCATTGTGGATTAGAGTTTCGATATCTCTAAGCCAAAAAAAATCTTGCTGTTCATTCGGATTCAGCTGCTTGTATTCGACTACAGAATCTATTACATATATATACATATCATTTGATGGTTGCGAATCATTACTTTGACTTTGTATATATTATTGATTTGATTATAAATATATACATATAGTACTGTATCTCATTGCATATATTTGTATTTCAGTTCTTTTACATCAGCTTGTTTAACAGTTTGATACCTAATGAGAAATGTATTGTCAAGGAATGGTACTTTCTAGCATCTGCTTAAATTTTAAATTACCTTACAATGCAGTAAACCAAATTTAAAAACAAAACTAGAAGAGAGCCTAATTTTCAGGAAGAGAAATACTATTAACAAGCAAGCAAAAAGAATAAGGGACTTGCGAATTAGAAACTTAATATAGAGTTCAAATTTAGCATACTTGCCATCCCCTTAAAGCTGATAGTAACACCCTGCAGCTTATTATGACACGCATGCACATAGATGTTTTGTGTGGAAGAAAGGATGAATCCTTTTATATAATGTAGTGAAGATATAATAATATACAAACACTATGTCGACACCTTATTACAATACTTTGAATGTTACCTGTATCTCTCAGAAGATAAATGAAACATGAAGATAAAATATAATAAATTTAATAATACCCAAAATACAATAAAATATATTGTAACAAAACGAACTTTAAAAAATTTACAAGTCTCAAAAACTACCAATTCTCAACACACAGTTCGGAAATTTAAGGAAATATTTCATAGCGTATAATATTTTATTCCATATCTCACTTTTAGTGCTATATAATCTTCCATAGATTTTACATAGTAAATAAAATCTATAATATAATGGGTATTTGTACTATATGTAGTTCTTGATGTAAAAAAGATAAACTTTCGTACTGTAAAAATTCCATCTATGTGAATAAGTATAAATATACTCATATACACATAATTATAAGTATCTATTAAATAACTAATTTAATGAAACGAAATTCCTATAGAAAAATGGGGAAAGTGTAGAATCGCCCACTGCTTGGCGCGTTTTTAAGAATTGCACATACTCGGTATCCATGTACACATCGACCAATTTTCACTTAAAAAAAATCCCAGAAATGCACAAAAATGGCATTGCGCACTCCTTTGACTTTATCCATGCACACAACGACCTATTTTCACTTAAAAAGTCAAAAGAAATTTGACAAAAATCCAATTCTCTTACTCTTGTA